CCCTCTGTGTTACTTTAGCCTGGTTTTTAAGGGGGCAAGTACCCTACACAATGCTGCTAATGGCTTTGGTCTCTAGCATTTTGCAGCCAACTGGTCTCTTGTGGCACATGCACGTTTCGGCAGCACTAACACAAGGTATAATCTGGAATGTCCACTTATTTCTGTCTAAAAATATTGGCTTGGTCATTCGTTACAAGAATCTCTTCTGCAGCCTGCTGCAACCAGAAGGGCTTTTTCTCTTGAAAAAGTAAGTGTTTTATTCAAGTGGGGATCTGAAATTAACCAGAATTAATGCAGAGGAAAATATGCCGGCGTGAACCTGCCGTTAGATTTGTGTTGTGTTCTCTGGAGAATGCCTACATGTTTTTCTTGCTAATACGTGGTGTTTTTTTCATTTCCTTTTTCACTTATCCTCCAGAAATGTACGAAACCAAAGGCTTTAGAACAGTGGTTCTCAGCCAGGGGCAAGGATACCCTGGGAGGTAGGATACACAGGTCTTCAGGGGGTGCATCAACTCATTTAGATATTTGCCTAGTTTTACAACTGGCTACATTAAAAACAAAGTCAGTATAAACTAATATTTTATACAATGGCTTGTGCATACTGCTCTATATAGCAGTGGTCCCCAACACGGTGCCCGCGGGGCCATTTGTGTGCGCCCGCCAAGTGCTCAGGGCTGGCCTGGCCCCGGGCACGTGGTGCATTCATCGGGGCCGGAGCTGGCCGGGCGCATGGTAAGCGCCGGCCCCGGGAGCGCCGCAAATTGGCTGCTTGTGCCCCGGGCGCACGGCGCTTGGGGGGAGTTGCAGGGCGGGGGGCCTGGCCCCGGGCGCGTGGCGCTCCTGGTAGGTCTTATAATGCTCCAGGGAGTTCTCAGCTCATTGCAGTTCCACTGACATCTCTGTACCTCAGTTTCCCTAAGCGGGCTGCCCAAGGGCACAAAGTGAGTCTGTGCAGAGCTAGGCATGTGACCCAGTGCTCAGTTTGACCATCACACACCGTGTTTGCCCTGCGTAACCACGAGCTACTGCAAAAAGTGTCTCCTCTGTGGGATTTGGCAGTGATGGGCCATGCTTCTCAAGCCTCAGCCTGCTGAAAGATGTTCACGCCTCTGAGACGCGTGTTGCAAGCAGCGACTGCAGAAACTGGGAGTGTGGATGAGAGAGCATTACCTCGCTCTCCAAAGTGTAAGTGGAGCTAGCTTGGCCTTTGTATAAATAGCCTCCTGCCCCTTTATAAAATAGCTCTGGAGTAAGAAAGCAGCATGTGCTCAAACTGAGAGTTAGTAGTCGGCTACAGTGTGGGGTATATTTGCTAACAGGCGACTAGCAGGACTGAGACCTGCCTGTTGCTAGTGTTGACCAGCTGTTGTACAATGGAATCTTGTAATTATGGTAATCCATGTTTGTAACCTGTTTGGCCCAGTCCACAAAGTCCCAATGGCTGTGTCTACACTGGCCCCTTCTTCGGAATAGCCATGCTAATTTAGAACTTTGGAATAGGGAAATGCGCGGGGGATTTAAATATACTGAATAAGAGATCCTCCGGAAAAGGGCTTTATTCCGGAGGATCGCACCAGTCTGGACGCTCTTTTCCGGCTTTTCCCCAAGCCGGAAAAAAGCGGCAG